AGAGACAGAGCATGAACGGGGGAGGGGCAGAGAGAGAGGGAGACACAGAATCTGAAGCAGGCTCCAGGCTCCGAGCTGTCAGCACAGAGCCCGACACGGGGCTCGAACTCACAGACCACGAGATCATGACCTGAGCTGAAGTCAGACGCCTAACCGACTGAGCCACCCAGGTGCCCCTGGGAGTGTGCTTCTTTATCTGCAGTGAGGGGATGTCAGTGCATATATATTTGTATATTCATCAGTCCTGGAGCAAAGTACCCAAGGGAGGGCTGAGAATGGTGACAGCGGAAGAAATGACAGGCCCACAGATAACTGTGGCCAGGGAGGGAAAGCCGCACGTACCTTGGAGGAGGAAGGGGTGCTTTTATTGTGATTGTTGGCAGGAAGGAGGAGACTGATTTGGGGCTTGGAAATCAGGAAGTTCCTGGAGGAGGCACTGTTAGAGATGAAAACGCCTGGATTTGTGGATGGGAGCATTCTGAGAAGATGGGGCAGCACTGGGGAGGCGGAAGGGTGGTGGGGAGGTCATTGGTGGTTTGGTTTGGAGGCCTTGTCGGTATGAAGTGGGGTCAGTGAGGGGAACTGAGGCTGGTAGGTGAGGGTAGAGACAGGGGTGTGGACCTTATTCTGTAAGCTGCAGAGGGTCTTTGAAGGCGTTTGAGGAGAGTCGCTGATCAGAGCAGAGCTTAGCTTTGGAAGATGATTCTAGCAGTAAAACACATAGGGTCTGGGAGCCCGTAGGCAGTCCCTGGTGCCTGTAATCCAGCATGAAATCACCCCAGGCTGGGCGGGGCTGTCAGTAGAGAGCATGGGTATCGAACTAAGCACGTCACTCACTTCTCAGCCACTGCCATTCTCAGAACAGCTAAAGTTTGCTTTAGGAAGCCACACTTATCTCGATGAAAGCCAGAAGCCTCTGATATGTTCTAGCCTGAGGTTGGAACAGGGACATGGGGTAAATGTCGTAGGCTTTGCGAGCCCTGCGGTCCATGATGGTGGCTTGGCGACTGCTTGTGGGAGCACAGAAGCAGCCATAGGTGGATGGGCATGCCTGTGGTCCCAGAAAGCTCTGTTTACAAGAACAGCTAACCAGATCTGGCCAACTCCTGCCCTAGACCCATGCTTCTGAAACTCGAGCGTGCGTATGAATCACCTGGGATCTTGTTAAAATGCCAGTTCTGACTCCAGTTCTGGGGCTCTGTAGCTGGTGCCCTGCTCTGGGTGATCTGAGCTCGCTAATCTGCCAGCCCATCCTTTGAACAGCCGGGTTTTAGACCGTACAGGACGCGCATTCTCTTTGAAAGCCGTGCGGTTCTGAGATAACGGCATAGAGCCTTGCAGTGTACAACCACAGAGCTGTTCGACGTTCCCAGGGTTGTCCGTTCGGTGCCCCTTTGCTACCTTGTGTTCTCTCTTAGATGCCCCCAAATTGTAAATTCTAATCTGAGCGCTTTTGCTGGCCTGAGGTCCCCTGACTGTAGAGGCCCTAATCATGGAAAAGTTTGTAAGGCTCTCTCTCTTCTCTCTTTTATCCTCTCTAACTACTTCAAGACAAAAGGAAATAATAAACATGTAAGAAACCCTAACAACTCTCCTTTGTTTTTGGTTTTTTGTCTTAAAGACCCCTGCTATGCTTTTTCTCTAAAATCTGCTCCCTTTCTACCAAAACGACAACGACAACAGCCAACAACCAGAGGCTGGTGTGCCTTCTTGGTAAACTGGCTTAGCTCCCACTGGTCTCCCACGCTTATCCCGGCTGACTCGTGGAAACCCACTAGGGGCTGAGGGTTCAGTTTGGACGGGGAAAACCACCTGTCTTGCCTCTCACAGAGTTGGGCTTTCGGCCAGATGAGATCATGAGGATGATGACCCATGAAAATGATAAAGGATGTATTGGTTTCAAGGCCTCTGATTGTGTAGCTGCTAGAAAGGAGCTGGCTGGACTGTGTGGCTCCTGGAAACGTTTGGGGGCCTTGGACTGCGGTAGTGAGGACGGGATGGTCTGAGGGAGGACTGTAGGAGGGGAAAGGAGAATGAGTGAGCTTACAGTTTCCGTGCGTTAGTTCAGCTGCCAAGTGACAGCTACATGTGAAGGTCTGGTTGCTTCTGACGGTCCTTTCTGACCTCTCTGGGAAGCCCAGCCACGGGCCCATATGTTCCTTGATTTCAGAGTTAGTTTCTTTCAGAAGCTGGGCTTAACCCTCCCAACGTGTGTTCACGGCCTATTAGGCCGTGACCTACAGATCGCAGAAGCCGAAGAACAGGTGCTTTGCCATTGGAGGCAAGTAAATAATTAGGTAATGCTCCACCTAGCCCCCAAAAAGATCGTAAGCAGCCGTTCGGTAAAAATGACCTGATTTAATGAATGAGACGTGTTCCACACAGTAATAAAACTCTCCCTTCTGAAAAATTCCTACAAATTGCTAAATGTCGATTGTGGCGTAAGGAACCCACAAACCACTCAGCCCCGTACCTGTTAACCCTTCTCGTGGAGAAAGTGTTTAATAAGTAATTCATTGGTCTGAATAGAGTAAAGGAAGCCTTTCGAGTAGAGCATGTCAACGTGGAGAATCTCTTTGAATTCGAATTTCGGTTTTGGGCCGGGCTTTGGGACGTATATAGTGTAACTGCCTCCTCTTGGGGTTGTTCACTGCGGTAAAGGGCAGAGTCAGGACTAGACCTAGTGTCCCTGGTTCCTACTCCAGCTCCTCCCACCCAGCCCCCGCCCCTGAGCTGAGTATTTTGGCAGAGATGTGGCCCCCAAATTGTGGAAGGTCTCGTGGGCCAAAGTGTTGTGTCCTAAAGTACAGGATGAGACACCCACAGTGATTTAGGTAGTGGATGGACATGATCTTAAATAACATTAAATCATTCATTTAAAAAAGGTGATTCTTGGGGCGCCTGGGTGGCGCAGTCGGTTGAGCGTCCGACTTCAGCCAGGTCACGATCTCGCGGTCTGTGAGTTCGAGCCCCGCGTCGGGCTCTGGGCTGATGGCTCAGAGTCTGGAGCCTGTTTCTGATTCTGTGTCTCCCTCTCTCTCTGCCCCTCCCCCGTTCATGCTCTGTCTCTCTCTGTCCCAAAAATAAATAAAAAACGTTGAAAAAAAAATTTAAAATAAAAAAGGTGATTCTTTTAAATTTCCTTTCTAATGCTTGTCAGCATGTCAAGGAGAAAGGATCACTGAGTGCTGGTAACTCTTTAACATTTGCTGGTCCCTCTTAACAAAGAGAGGGCAGACCCAGGGCCTTTGGGTGGGGAGCTAGATCCAGCTAAAAAAAAGTAATATTATTTTGTTTCTGGTGTAATGATTTGTATTGCCTTTGTCTGTTTTTGGCATATGATCGGGGTTTGCCAGTCCTGGTTCTGATACAAAGTTTCTGTTGAAAGTGTGTTAGCATAAAAAAGGGAGTGTTCTTCAAAGGGACATGTTTAGTAACTTACAGTAAGTTGGTAGGCGGTATGGGACAAGTCACAAGAGTTCGTATTGACATGCCCCAAGTACACAAACCATTGGCCCTAACAAACCCCGATTGCCTTTGCAGTGACTTTGGCTTCAAGATGAGTGAAGATCTGGCATTAGAGGTCTGTGTTCCGGATCCTGAGTTTTCTGGGAAGTCATACTCCCCTCCTGTGCCTTGTCCTGTGGGTTCTACATACAGGAGAACAAGAGGGTACGTACCCCAACGTGCTGGGGACATGTCTGCACTGGGTTTGAGAGAGCAGAGAAAGCCACCTGGGCTCCTTTCATACTCCCACTGCTTGGATTCCTAGCGGGTCTCAGGTAGCTTGGGCAATATTTAGAATTAGGATGTTTACAAACGCTTCTACCCTCTGTGAGAAAAAAATGCAAACCCGTAAGCTTCTCTGTAGCTCTAGCTATATGTTAAGTCATCAACTTCAGCAAGGACACATCGTCGTAGGACTTCGTGGAAGGGATACGTGTATACTCTTGCCCGGGACAGTCTTCCCTGTTATCTGGGCTTCCCGGTGTAATTATGAGCAGAACCAATTGAGAATGATGAAACATCCTTCTTGTCCTATAGGGAAATGAAGAGATGGATGTGGATAGGAAATAGGTTTCCAGGTATGAAGACTTCATGGCTATTCTTGGATGTGTCTGACCTCTTGCTCTTGGGGCGGGGGGGTGACAGCTATCGGAAGATTTCTGGGGACACTTGCAGTGGAGGAGACGTTGAAACACGGCTGGAAGGAGAACTGGTCCCTTGTCCCTTGGCAGGTAAGAGGTGGTTTCTTGCCTTTGAGTTCTTGAGACGTCACTGTAGTGTCCTTATGATCTCACACTGGTCCAGTCTTGTGGCCCTTCTAACTCAGTGGTAGAAAAACGTAGAAATTACAAGCATCACAGACCTCCCCTTTTCCTCTAACCTTGGTATCCAAACCAAATTTATTTATAGCCTTATGCTCGCATAGGAACAGAGAGTAGTTTTTTGAGGGAGATCCCTTTTGCTCATTGAAAAATGTCTATTCGGCGGCTCTTGTGTCCTAGGCATGGCGACGGTCTTGTGTGTGTTCCTTGGTCTGTTTGTCAGAGTTGGAACATAAAGAAACTGTGGCTCTTTGGGAAGTAGCGAAGCGGTCCATCTTAATTTTTATGATGATAATTATAACGAATACTTGAATGGAGTTTCACACATTTAATGTACTTTTCCTTGTGTTGCCATTTTAACCCTTATCGCCACCCAATGAAGCAGATACTATCATGAGCTCCGCTTTTTTTTTTTTTTTTTTTTTAACGAAGAAGCATGTTCAGAGGAGAGGATGAATCGACCTGTTTGAGGTCACGCATCTGGTAAGGGACAGAGTTCAAATTCAGACTCTTAAGCCCCATGCCCTTCCTCGGACATCGCCCCAGTGGCAGATGAGTGTCATTCGCATTATTTTAGGTGACCATTATGCATGCTCATTGGGAAAGCGTTCTTTGGAGCGAGTGTTCGCGCTGTAAGGGGACAGATAGTGTGGTCCAAACGTGCGTTAAGTTGACTGAGCGGTGATGGCACAGGTATTTGCAACCCAGGCAGGAAACGATGATCCCCTTGCAAAGAGTTCACCTCCCGGCCTCTTTTTTCTTCCCTCCTGTTTCCAGTTCTTGTTCTTGCAGAACTTCCTTATTCCCTGTGAGCCCTTCCTCCTGCTCTTACCTCTCGGTGAAGGTGGATGGTTGGGGCTGCTTGGACCCGTGGTGGTGGTGGTGGTGGTGGGGTCTGATGGAACAGCCATCAGCACCCCGCTGAATCACGAGAAGCGCATGGCCCTCCGCAGACGGGGCAGAGCGCCCCCCTCCATTGCTCACCGCTTGCCAGCGTTTGCCCCGGTGTTTTTCATGCTAAGCTCATTAGTCCCTTAATTTAATCTTCCATCATTACCAGAGTCATTAACATCCCTCGCTGTGGAGACTTCAAAAGAACACGGCTTCAGCAGATTCCTGCAAATGAGCAGATAATATTCAAATATGCTCCTCACGAGAGCTGTTACTGATGAGGGTTTGGGTTAGTAGGGTTGGAGTGGTTGCTCTCAAGGGCTGGAGTGCATACTTTCATAATAAACGTTTCTGAAGATACTTCTGTGAGGGACAAAACAGTGTGTGGAAAACCATCTGAACTGGTAAGAGAGCTGTTTTCTTTGCTGAGAGGAGAAAATAGAACAGGGACCAAAGTAGAAAAAAAGCACATTTGTAGTGTAGACCGCCTCCCAAATGTAAAAAAAAGAAAAGAGAAAAAGAAAAAAGACGCATGGCACAGAAGGCAGGGGCGTACCAGGAAAGGAAAGGATGGTCTCCTAGGGCTGATGGGAACCACAGCATCTTTGTAAAGATTGAGGTAATCTGGGCATCTGGGCATCATTTTTTTTTTAATGTTTATTTTTGAGAGAAAAAGAGACAGAGCAT